AGGATGTATCAGAGCTATAGGCGAAGCCTTGACTAGCTAATGGGAACTCAGGATAACAAAAGAACGTAAGTGAACATAGGTTTGCAAAGTAAGCGTTTTCAAGGCATTCAACTCCCCATTTTCTAAGCTGAGTTCCTTGTTCCATTATACATATCGTAAACTGACGAGGCATTTAAAGTAGATACACTGGTAGGATTCATGGGTAAGACATTTTCAATAGATTATAAGGGCATAAATTATTTAAATTATGTTCAATTTCTACGATCTCAACATTTTTTCTATCCACAGCTTCTTTAAATTTTAATATTCTCTTTTGATGTGAGTTAGTCTCGATATTTTAATTTTGATCCAAATTGTGAACGAATAAAGGGTTGATTTCTTCTAAAAAAGATAAACTTGAAAACTCGAACCTCTTCAAACCTCGAATGAACTTCGAAGTTTTAATTCATTTAAAATCCCATTGTCTGAATGTTATTGTAAAACCTCTACAACGCAAATGCCTTTGAAAAAAAAATTTCTATGTATTATTCGTGCACGTTTCTGTCTCTGTTCAATATTTTTAATCGAAAAATGTATTTCTGTCACAGTGAAGCAAAAATACATTAAGATCGTTTCACCCCTCAAAACTTCGACTGCAGTTCTGTCACAGCCCCGTGCACCAAACCTGAAACGCAAAATCTAATTGCAAAATTCCGACAAACGCGCACAAGATTCTGTAAATCGTGTCCCAGCCAGAAGTAGGGATTTATTTACGATATTTACCGGTTGTATAGCGGTGACATCAATGGTCAGATCTCTGGATCGCCTTTGGATCCAGGTATACAACGCGCGCTCTTCCCTCCTCCCCCCTTTTTTTTTTGCCTTCCAGTCGTGTAGATCTTTTGAAAGGTCCGCACTTAATAGACCCCGGGGACCCGGCGACTTGTTTGGACGTTTGCGGTATAAACAGAGCGACACCTGGTGATCTATGCACTCGCCTCGTCGGGATGAAACGAGCCGCGAAAGTCGAAGAGTTTTCGGTATTCGGGGTGGCCCTGACTGCACAATGCCACGGTTGACGTCGCGCGACGCCCAAGGACGCGGAAAAGTCGCCCTTTCAGGGCGCGCAACCGCTGACATTGATAGTTTGAGCAAACCTCGCGTTAAGTCGACTTGGATTTTGGGAAAATAATTCTCAAAAGCATTTGTATCCATTATAGACACACGTGTCCATACAAATACGATAACGATAACGTTTGGATACTTGTAAACGTACAGAAACACATGCATTTGTTGTCTTCGTGTAACAGTTAGAAGCAAGTATAAATGCCCGTTAAAAAGTAACCTATTTTGTTCTATAAAGAGGAACCACTAAGGTATCATCGAGAAAAAGTACAAAAATTTGAAGATAATTGGCTGCACAAGATGGTATATAATATTCAACAACTTTGCCATTTTATAACTTTGAATAACAAATCTCGTGTGAAGATGAAACTGAAATGTTGTTTACTATAACCTCCACATACCTTCATATTCAACCTGATAGTTAGCTCAGGAAGTGAACATAGAAATATATTTTTCTAGATCCTCAGGGTGCGTACCTTAAATTCATAAAGAAATCTTCATTATTTTCGTTCCCCTTCCCTTGTCAAGTGTCAATATAATTAGACACCTGAGTTATAGTTTCTGTAGTTGCATTTAACAAATATTATCTCACAAAGATAAAAGATCTCTGACTCCAAGTACTGGTGAAATAACAATTCGAAGTTAATTGGATGCAGATGATGGTACAAAATATTTAACAACTTTGTCATTTCGTAATTTTGAATAACAAATCTTATGACAAAATAAAATTAAAATATTGCGTAATATAACTCAATAAATCTTCATATTCCACCTGATAGATAGCTCAAATATATTTTTCTAGATCCTCAGGGTGCTGCCATAAATTCACAAAGAGATCTTCATTGTTTTCATTATCCTTCCCTTGTGAAGTGTCAATATAATAAACAAATCGCTAATTTATAGCCTGTCTTAATTGAATTTAAGGAACACCTGATCCACAAAGGAAAATGTACCTTTTGTACAATTTAACAGCAGCTTGCACAGAGATGACAAGGCGAATAGCTTATCACAAAAGGCCGATTCGAGGCCATTACGATTTCCTCCATGCATCGACGAGATCGTTCCTTTAAGGAGTAGCGGAAAACCGAAAAATAATTGGAGACGGTCTAACCGTGAGCGGCCGTCCGTAGCGGAATTGTTCTCCATTCGCGACAGAACGCCGCTGGAGCTTGTAAGTACACAGTCCGGCAACTAAAGTAAGCTATTAAATTCTTCAAATACACCGCCGTGGATGAACGTGATCGCCAATTAGGCAAGCGTGGTCGGCTTTTATGTAGACGAGATTATTCGAAATCGGTAAGAACGGGCGTATGTAAGGAGGACGCGCGCCTCAGAAAAGGAGATGCTCGCTCGCGCTGGCATTCCGTCCTTCCTTTTTCGGCCGGTCGCTTCGATTTTTCCTCGCTGAGCAGCCCTTTTTCCCCCTCGCTAGCAGCACGCACAATTGGGAGCGCTTTATATAGTTGCGTGTCCTGCATAACATTAAGAACGTAACGCGTTTTATGGCACGGCCACCCAGAATGCGTATCTTCGGTTCGACTCGCTCGATTCTGTGACGGGCATAAACGCCACGGCTGATTGCTGGCAAGAAATCCCTCCTATTGACGATTCCATATGACCGTCGAGCGTGACAACGTCATAAATTACGCGCTGACCTCGATTGATCGAATTAATACGACGTATGAACGACTCTGTTGTCTCTGCCCGTTCCAAGTAGGACGACTACCACAAGGCTGCCAAGGGGTGGCTGTCGTGGGAGAGTGAAATGTACAGATTTCATCTGGGTATTTAAAAAGAACTCGTTCGGAATTAGTATTGTAGTTTGTCGAGTCCTTTTTTCAAAAAGTAAATAGAAATTAATTTATCGTACCATGTAGATACGATAAAGTTTGCTGTACTCGCAGAAATTGAAGAAAGCGACTTCACATTTAAGATAAGTCCTTTTTGGGGCAATTGTTGGGAGGAAAATTTGTAGGAACAAATAAATATTTGTAGCATTTACTTTTAGAAAAAAGTAATTGTTCTATTCGAGCAGATATACAGATAAATAAAAATTCTGAAAATTGTGTCAACCGCAAATTGTGATTAAAACTGAAAAAAATCTGAAATGGAATCATAATTAGGCATCAAATATGGTTACAGAGCGTTGCGGACGTTTTAAAAACAAAAAAACTTGAGATGTTCGTTTAGTGTCATTAAGATTGTCGTGTAGTATTAATTTCTATTTGGGGTAGTTCAGAATTTTGCACGTTAAACGATTGAATTTGGAGATCAGTCTGTCCTATTTTGATTTGCTGTTGAGGTTATATTAAGGAATCAAGGGCTAAAAAAATTCACAAATAAATTTTCAGCTTCGATGACATCAAAGAGTATTGATAGGATGATATATAACGGATGAAATATTGCTTATATTAAGAAAAATGTGGTTTAAGAAGCTGAAGAGCCGCGCTATGACCACCTCTGGTATACGTAATGCGCGAAGCTCTTCGCCAGCGCGTCTAGAATTGCGCTGTTATCTATTCTCTTAACGTCGTATTCCCTGTGGCGACCACCCAAGGTGTCCGGCTTCAGTGTCGCGCGAGGGACGCTGAACGTTTCTCAAGGTTTTCGCGTATCATGAATGGCGTTGACAATCGTCGAGCGACCGATATACGACCTGGAAGAGAGAACAAGAGAGACAAGAGGAGACAGTCGACCGTAGGAGGTCCTCCATTTCGATTCACAGCGGTCCTGAGGATCTTGTCCTGGGAAAGCCATAAAAGGTGATCAAGTCGCGGTGATCCACAGACATCGACCGTGGCACGTACGTCGCACGAAAAGATGAAAAAAATTCGCCGACTCGTCTCGTCCGCTCAATCCGTGTACTTTCGTAACCGGAGACAGGCAAATTTTATTCCCAAATAACGAATAAAAATGTTTGGTTCACAAACCAACGTTCGCGTTTCATTCGTATGGAATCGATCAATGAACAGTTTAAATCGATATTCGGGCCAGTAAGATCGTAGACGAAAGTCGAATAAAATTTGTAGCGGTATGAGAAATGTGTATACGAAACATATTTTACAAGATTATTCGTAACAAATGAAGTTAATTTGAAAACGTAATCATATTTTATTAAGCCATAAAAAGATGAAATACTTTATGATTCTCCTTTTTATAGGTCTCCTTTGTCAAAAAGAAATATTTCGAAGCAAATAAATTGAAGGAACGGACCCACCGTAGGACATTGCAGAATTGTGAAGAGTCGAATCGCGAACGGTCACTGATAAATCGATAAAAATCAAACTTCTTATAGTTCGATCGATAATTCCAGTGTCTGATGAAGTCCATTGAGAACTTCGAGCCGTAAATCTTCATCGAATCGATTGTCTGGCACTGTGGCCAAGCGCATCGAGAACGAGTTCCCCGTCCACGAAATTGGATCATTCAGTTGCAAAACAGGTCATTGGGCCGACTTCGAGTCGATTTTTCAGTGTTCACGGTTTTTTTCTCCGAACCACGGATTTCGGTCGTGAACCGTGAAAATCGTCACAGTATTTCTCCAACGAATTTCCATTTGAAACGACACCTAAAACCGAATGTTTCAGGTTGAAACCACGAATTCGACACGGGAATTGGGAATTTCCTCCATTCTTTCCATTCGGGACGCGACGGGACAACGAAAGGGGAAAAGAATTATAAATATTTGGGTGGTCTATGTAACTTGGAAGATAACATTAACTCAGATACGTGCACACTGAACCACGACAAATTTTTTTCCTTCCCTTAACAAAGCCTTTCGTGTCCTAAATTGCTCTTGAAAACTCTCAACTATGAGTTATTTTCATGAGAAAGACAATTCACTGATAATATTTTAGTGAAGATAAAAATTAAAAGCTATTATTGAAAATCCTAAGATGGTGACCATATTATCTATAAATCCTCATAATAATGAGTTTCAAGTTGTTAGAGCCTTTCTGTTGCATCCACCAGCAATTCTAGAGGAGACACCATTTAATTTCTGTAACAATTTACTTCAAAATTACAATCCCAGAAGTATTATTAATTATTGAGTAAGTCATAGTCGTGTTTTCTTTCATAAACCTTTGCTCTTAATTTTGGATTTATTCATTAAACGAGAAACGATCTCCCACGTTTGCGCTATCTTTTACGAATAGATTGACTGAACTTTTTGAAACAAAATAAAAGGTTTTACATATTATTCCACACAGTTATATTTTTTAAACCAATTTCCTCATACTCTTCCAACTCCAACAGAAAGCCAATCGAAATCACGGTTCGCAAACCGAACAGGGATATTTAGCCACCCCTGCGTCATAAATCTTCAGCGAACGGATTGTTTGCAAACGTTGCGTGATCTGAAAGGAGGAAGCAGAGATTCCAAGGGGTTTCGTTGGGCGCTAGGTCATAGAATTCGGCGTTAGCCCAAAGACGAGGCGTCTAAGACCATTTGTCGCGATACGGGAGATCCTCCGTGATCTTCCGGCGCGGTTGACAGGTACGAAACAGGTAAATGCACCGCGGGATCCCCGTTTTCACGTACCGACATGGAAACCCTAGGGACAAAGGGCCGCGGGGGCGGCTCAAAGACCCCGAAACCGGCCGCAAAGTCAAAATAAAGTAATTGTTGCCCCTTTGTCGCCGTCATCTTACGTACACCCACCACCGTGCATTCTTTGTCCTTTTCGTATGGAAGGGGCGTCTTTCTGAAACCGAGAACGCTTCTGTTGGCGTCAGTGTCACGGTTTCTACTCTACTATTGGTACACTTGTCCCGTGGGATTCGTTTGGAGATTTTATCTGTCGAGGAGCAGCGTTGATTTCAATTTTCTTTTTAAACGTTTACTATCTCTAAATTAGTTTGTAAGGATAAAGAATAAATTTTTGCTCGCATATAAAGATTATTGCCTATTCAAACTATTTATTTCTCTGAAGTTCTAATTTTTAATAACTTGTTTGGAGATTTTTATTTGTCAAAGAGTAGGGTTGATTTCAATTTTCGTTTTAAACGCTTGTTATTAATAAACAGGTTTATAAAGACGAAGAAGACCGAGCAGCTGCAGAACCATATATAATTTTTGCTTATGAATAAATATTATTGCCCAGCGGCATTTAATAAATTTTGATAAACGAACTCGCAAAAATATGCAATAATAATAAATACAATAGTCACAAACACAAATAAAAATTCGATTGCAATTTTGGGACATGAAATGAGATTCAGATTCCGGTCAGAATGGACCCAGGAGCTTAAAATTTGAGGAACACGCGTCTAACGAGCAGGAATAAGTTAAATGAGAATGCGTTCTTCCGAAAAATCTCTCAATGACGCGTTGGAATTATGGAGTTCACCCTGCTTTGCACTTGAATGATCCAATTTCGCCCCGACGCGACGATCTTGAGAGGCGTTCGCAAGAAAGCGATTCCATCGGTGCCTTTTGTGGCGGAGGACACCTTCTTTGCAAATGAATGGGGAAAACCACGGCTCCGCCTTGAGGACTCTGATTTTCCGCGGCGACAATCACCGTTGACTTTTTGTCAAGTTTCTACATTGTGGACCGACACTCGAAGCTTTTCGTAATGCAATTATGCGGGCTCCACGAGCCGTTTTGTGAGACTTCGGGGAGGGATAGAGCGATTCAAAGCTCGCATTATGGTAAACGAGCCGTTTAAAAGTCGTTTCTCCGTGCAATTCGATCGGGTTTTGTGTTCACGAAGCTACGCGTGAAAAGATATTTCCACGTACAGTCGAGTCGCCCATTGTGCTCTAATTTGACAATTGTGGAGACACTATTGTACAGTTTTCTAGTTCGTAACGTTTTTAAGGGACCCTTAGTTGTTAAATTAAATATCTGTAAGACTTGCACAAAGTCGTAAGATTGTAAATTTTTAATTGAAATCAATTTTCGATTAACCGATGTTATCGATAGCAAGCGTTCGATAATCGACTTTCCATGCTCGGATACAAGGAGAAACAGATGACGCTGCAGTCACGAACGTAATATCCCGACCATGTTAATTTTAACCCCAAATTATTTCAAGTATTGACCACAATTTTGCAACATGTCGGAAAATAATTTCGAAACGATGACAACTCGCGTCGCGCCGGAAGTCGATGCCAGAATCCGCTGAAGAAGAGGAACGGAAACGTCACCGTGGATGGCACGTAACCTAATTAGAGCTTGTACCGTTTTCTTATTTTATTTTATTTTTATTAGTTGTCTTTATTCCGCGAACAAGTCATCGGCGTTCTACATTCCACGATCGTCGATTAGTGCTTTCGACGAAATTCTGCATCGAATATCGTGTCGATCGAGAGATTAAAAACAGTTTCTGGAGTTGCAATTCTCTGTTATCAGGAATCGAAACGAGCATGCTGCGCGAACACTTTCTCCCCGATTTCTGCCATCGATAATCAGCAGGACAATCGTTATCGGTCGACGATCAGAAAGCCCAAAGAGAGCTGCAACCTGAGAAAGTGCAAGTATGCCAAATCGCAGGCGGAAACCACATACTGCAATACCCAGAAACTCCTAGACAAGATTCAGAGCCTGAAGAAAAGCATTCAGGAGGCGGAGAACACTCAATCGCGCAGCAAACAGGTGAAATAATATTTTTAAAAAATAAAAAGAAAGCTTTTATAACATATATTTTTCAATAAAATTGTTTTTGTGGCCAATACTAGGCAAAACATAAGATTATTTTATTTTCTTACGTTTCGATCTGTGTTTCCATCAGAAAATAAAATTAGATATTGGAATAATACAAAATAATGAAAAAGAAATACAGTAGTGCCTCGTTTCCAGACGAAAAAGCAGGTCCACCAAACGTCCTTGAATCGAGGGTTGGAAACGAATTCTATTTCACTGAAATTTCAAACGCTGAAGATTGATTTTCGGAATATTTCCAATTTCCAATTTTATTAATATTTTATCTATCCGTTCCATACGAGAACTTCTATCGTAGAAATGTCATTTGGCGTGACTGTTTCGTTCCAGGGAAGCAGTAAAAGGAGAGATGTCCCTAGTCAAACGCAAGAGCTAAAGGTAACGGACTTGAACACCGCCAGGGAAGTCGTAAACGACTGCATAATGCAGATGACGAAATTGAAAACGTTTCTGAACGACGAGAATTGTTGGTGGAAGATGTTCAAGACTCTGGAGTTCGACTGCTGCGAGCAGAAACTACCTCATCTGCACGGGTATTTGGATGGAACGATGGTTACTTTAAAAATGTTGGAAGAGACGCTCGATGTGAGTAGACGACAAAAAACTAAGGTTTATTGAAAATGTCTGAGTAATATGTATTGATTTCAGAGGGATGACAATTTCGCGACTTCGACGCCGATAAAATCGAACTCGTTAACAACAGTCGACTCTAACGCGGTACCTGAACGGAAGAAACTGTTCAGGGAACAGTATACTGACAGTTGCGAAGAAGATACGAGAAAATACAAGGATTCTGGCATTGGTCGTAGTCTGAGCTTCCAATTGAACGAATTAAAGTAAGTGATTAAGTAAAATAATAACTATTTCGTTTCTTTTGCGATTTACTTGTTTCAGAAGCCACGAGTCCTGTCAACGAAACTGCCCATTTTCTTGTACGTCTGAAAATCAATCTAAAGCTCCTGACGCTAAGGACGAAGAGACGAACAATTTAATTACGTTCGATTCTGAACCACCAGAAAGTTTAGAAATGGTGGAGAAGTTCGTGGGAACGGAAGCTAGAATCAGCTCTATGGGTAGATTCTAATCGATCGCGTGGAACTGTGACTAGATCATCTCCTGAACATTTTCTTTTCAGTAAAATTACCGAGAGAATTACGGTTCGGCAGAAGCTCAACCGAACTCGGAGAGACATCGAGAATCAGGACAACGTTCAGCAGTGAAAACACAGCGAATAGGAAGATTATTGCTGCCGACATAAGTACCTCGACGGATTTAATTGTGGTACTGTTGAGGATGAATTATTAAAACATTGCAACGTGTAGAGTGGAAGATTAATTTTCCTGAATTTTAGTTTCAAATTTTATCGTATTTCATCTTGGGATTCGTGTGTTAATAATATATAAATTCACAAATATACAGGGTGTTCGGCCACCTCTAGCAAAAATTTTAATGAGCGATAGTAGAGGCCAAAATAAGACGAAAATCAAGAATACTAATTTGTTGGTGGAAGCTTCGTCAAAAAGTTATTAACGTTTAAAGTGCCACTCTTACTGAATTTTTTTCTCGAAAATGCGCAAGATTTCGGGGGTATGTCTATTCACCAAAAATGACTGTAATTGAACCCTACAACCGAAAATAATTTTACCACAACGATTTGCAATTTTTTAATTTTCTCGAATAATTTCACACATTCTCTATTTTTTTCCTCGAAAGTGGGCAGGATTTCGTGGGTATATCTAATGACAAAAACTGATTGTAATTGACCCCCGCAACCGAAAATAATTTTTCCACAACGATTTGCAATTTTGTTTCTCCGTTGAAAAATTTAGGCACCTAATTGGATTTTCAGTAAGGAATTTTTTTCTCGAAAGTGCGTACGATTTCGGAGGTATGTGTAATGATAAAAAATGATTGTAATTGATCCCCGCAACCGAAAATAATTTTTTTAAAACGATTTGAAAAATTTTTTTTCGCCGAAAAATTTCAGCACCTACTCGATTTTTTTTCTCGAAAGTAGATAGGATTTCGGAGGTATGTGTACTCACCAAAAATGATTGTAGTTGACCCCCGCAACCGAAAATAATTTTTCCAGAACGATTTGAAATTTTTGAATTTAATTGTTAATAACTTTTTAACGAAGCTTCCATCAACAAATTAGTATTCTTGATTTTCGTCTTATTTTGGCCTCTACTATCGCTCATTAAAATTGTTGCTAGAGGTGGCCTAACACCCTGTATATTGTATTGTCGAAACAGCAAGATTCAGAAAATTCCTTGAATCCTTTACTTTATTTTATTTTTTCGAAACTACTTGGAACAAATTGTAAATGTATAGTGTGAATTTAACATATTATGTATTTCATCACGAGGTTCGAAAGGGTTAATTTGAAGGCATTTTGAATTGGCAATCGCGGGGTCGCGTTAAAGTGTCTAACAAATAATCAATTCCAGAATACTCCCTATAACGACGTCGGAATTTCGACGAAGGGTCTGAAGGCCATGATGGAGAAAGCATTCTGTCTGAGGTCGAGTAGAACAAATACGAGGAACGAGAAACCTAGGAGCAAAAAAACAGACGCACAGAATACGAGCCAATAAAATAAAACAGTGAAAAAACAGTCGACGTTCGTGTATTTTAATGGTGCCCTGTAATCGAGAGGCAACATTCGTTCCACTTCGACGGGCAAATTTTAGTTCATCGTTCCTTTTACTGTTTCCCCATTACAGCATCCGTTTCGATTTACACGTATAATTGGATAATCTTCGTCGCAAGCTTTCGAAAAGCTTCCGAGCTTTGAGGAAGATATGGAGAAGAATACGAGCGTCGAGAATGAACGAGGTTAGAACGCTATCATTTAGTTCTACTCGCGCGAAAAATCGATACGAACAATTATAATTTACCTTTCGATGCAAGAAAATAATTTTTTATTATTTACTGATGTAACGTGTGTGGTTCCTTTCCAAAATAAAAACAATGCTTTTACCTATAAACGTTCGTAAGGTTTATTTACATTAGTAACATAAAATTCAAAATCTGTGGATTTGTGATTTTGTTGTAACTTTTAATTTTTATCCAGATGAAATTTTATTTAGTTAGTGTACACTGAACAGAAAGAAGCAATTGAAAGAAACCTGATTTAAAAAAATCCCAATCCCTAAACGTCACAAGAATTTTATTTTTGCTCCAAGGACGATAACATTGGATTTAGTAATTTTCAAAATGTTAGACATGTAAAATTAAGTGAAATTTGTGTATAAAACCTTATGTATAAAGAGTGTTGGGGGTGAAATCATGGTGTAACACAATTTTCTATTTTTTTACTTACATCGTTACGATCGTCAGTGTTAATTATTATCTTGAATTACGATACAGGGATATGAAACTAAACGAGTGATCACAGTGGCGAGGTGTTCCACCCTCTCAACCGACGAAAGATTGAAGACAGGCACCAGAACAATGCTGATAATCCGCGAATACTCGAGAATACGATCTCCGCTTCCAACCCCCTGCAGCTCCTACGAAAGCATCTATTCCAACGAAACTGACTATTGATCTCGATTACGTGCGAAAATATTCGTGGGGCGCGATTGGAAAAATTACAAAAGAGTTCACAGAATAACCTAGCCTCGAGATGAATGAAATAGAGACGAACGGAATGGAACGCACCGAGGGAATAAAAGGCGCAAAAAGAGAAGTGGCGAAATAAGCGGTCAAGTCCGCAGACAAAGGGACTGATCTCGTTAAGTAGGGGAATGCATAAAGGGCCGAGCAACGGCGACGAAAAAATCGACGCGATAGGAATATTGAAAAGGTGGCAGTCGCCGGAGACGCTGGAAAACGAGCAAAAATCGGTTACTTTGTTCGCTGTGAATACCTGCCAACCGATGTCTTCCGGTGGTCCCGTTTGCATTCTCGAGACGCCCGACCAATTATCGAAAGCTGAGAAAACCACGGCGAAATTTTGTAGCGGCGAAAACACAGAGAATTCCAAAAAGAGAAAAAAACCTACGGCTCAGGGTGGCTGCTCGAAGCTCTGCACTGGAATTAAGAACGCGGACGCTCCGGGGTGCGCCATTTTAATCGACGCGGTGGGCCAAAATCTCGAAAACGATCCTGCTCTTTAATTATTAGATCGAGAAATATATTACAACATTTATTGCCTCGTTAAAGTAAAAGCAAAACTGGCATTTACAGTGGTATTAGGATCTTATTTTAAATAAAATTTGGCACTTTTTATAAAACAGTTTCTGTCTGCAAAATGGATTCCACAATATTGTATTCAAAAATTCTTTTCCTGGCAACTTTTCAAAATTTTGGCCCACTGTACGATGTAAAAAGAAATGATTTGAAATACTTACGAAATACTTTAATCGGCGTTTCAGTTTTAAATCGACGGTATGCACTTCGAAGAAAAAGAGCAAACTGGCGAACAGACTGAAGAGGAGCAAGAGGAGGCTCAAGCAAATTTCTAACCAAGTGAAGGTGAGATAATTTCTTCCCAATCGTAAATGATTTCGATAAAGTTTGCTGGATCCATTCAAAGAAAAGGACCAAGAAGTCCCTGAGGAGAATCAAAGAAATCTACAGGAATATCGGCGCGAAGAGAGCTATGGGGTTCAAGTGTGACCTGAGGACCTGTGAGAGCACGCTGCTGAAGTGCAGTACTTCTTGCTCGAAACCCAACATGCTTTTCAGCCTTCAAAAGAGCAAAGGAACGAAGGTTGGCGATGGAAGACGTTTCACGACGTGTTGTTCGAAAGAGCACGAAATAGGAACAACGACGACCAAGTTGGACGCGAATCGATCGAAGCGTATGAAAGACAAATCGACCGACACGGGAGAGAACAAGGCAACTAATACGTGAACGACCGTGGGAAATTTATTCGTCTGTGTACGTGCGAAATTACTGTTAATTGCAAAAGTCAGTGCGTTCACTTTTCACTTTTCACTTTGCCCTCGTTATTATTTCATTTAGAATACGAATTTCTAATACTATGTTTTTCTGGGAAAAGAATACTTCTGTAGGTTTCCTTTGCTCGAAACATTTTTTGTTTATTAAAATCGACTCAAATATTGGAATGTCTGAACAGATACAACATTTTTCCATGTTAAAGCGACTAAAGTTTAATCCAATAAAAGGGTATGTACGTATATTAGTGATCAATAGACTGCGGATGAAATAATAATTCTCAACAAACTATAGCATGCACTTAATATTTAGGTGTTGAGGAACCCCTCTACGAAGCTCCAATTCTATTAATCCCGTTAATAAAAATATGAATTTGCACAAAAATCCGCAGTTTGGTAATGGAGTATGCTCGAAAATAGAAACACTTCTACTTCGTGACTTATTAATAATTCGCGAACGATAATTTGCCGATTCGATCAGGGATATTTCAACGAATCAAAATAGCCGGTAGAAAAGAGGAAATACAAGAACCGTCTGAAATTACTCGACAACACGACAGGAGATCGAGTTCCAAGCAAAGAGACCCAGCCGCGTTAATAAAGTGGCGCTTACTCCGAGCGTTTCCGGCCTTCCTCGCCTCTTAGCGTTTCTGCCATTCGTTGCTCATTACATATTTAGCCGGCGTTGGTAATAAGCGATCGTCCCGGGGGATCGGGTGATCAGCGGGGAATCAATTTGTCGACGGAAAGTCGGCGAGATTGACGAGGCAGATAATCGTGGATCGCGTCGAGCGAGTATCAGTCCGGCGAGCGTTCCTCCTCGCACGTCGAGGCTCGATGATTCGATAATTCGACCGGGAACTCGGCGAACAGAAACGAAAAATAAACGAAAGGAGCAGGAGAGGATGGAACTCGTCGGTGTCTCGCTCCTTTTGGTCACGTGGGCGCTAAGCAGCGATACATCACCCAGCCTGGCTATTCACCCAGGCAAATCGACTTTTATTGCTTTATAGCGCTTGTAAGCTGACCGTGCTCCATTCCGCGCGTGTAATCTGGATGTAAGGAGCTCGTTATTACGGACGGTCCATTCACCGGCCGACTTCCTTTTAACCTCTCCAAGGCATGCTGCACACCACAACGTGCACGGACTTTCAGATGATCTCTACGAACAGTACACGCGAAAAGGGGGGGGGGGGGAGGGGGAATGTCAATTTTAACGAATTTTCACCTCAACACTACACGATTCTCTGTATAGTCATTCTCTGTCTATGCACAGACAATTGTTGAGTAATTTTAACACGTGCTATATTAACTAATTTAATGTATACAAAGCAATGGGGATGATATAGTTACTTTCTCATTCGTATTCGTACACTATAATATGGTGATTCTATAGA